TTGTGTTAATATTGGATTCGTGCTTCGACCCTAGACCGGTTAAGTCAAATGGAGGGTACTCGTAGTGGCTGGGGCCGAGGGCGTGGAACCTCAAATGAAGGAGAAAATCGAGAACCAATATTGGTCTGGACCTAATCCTGAACCTGGAATGAATCCTAACATTCAGGTGGCTGCCGCTATCCAACGTATGACCCACCTTTTGGCTCACGTGGTAGGACATCAAGGCCAAAATCCTATTAATCAGCAAGGGAACCCTGGTAATCATATAGAGGGTGATGATAGAGCCCTCGAACGATTTCAGAAGTTCTCGCCACCGAAATTCCTTGGAGGACAGACCCCGATGTGGCCGAGAACTGGTTAGAGAAGATGATTGATGTCTTTGCCGCGCTGCACTACACTGAGGAGCGACAGGTGACATTTGCCGTCTTCCAACTGGAGGGAGCGGCCCGATCTTGGTGGAACATCGTAAGGATGAAATGGGAAAGAGAACAAACCCCAAGGACGTGGGTGAATTTTATGAGAGAGTTCAATACGAAATATTTTCCACCCCTGATTTAGGAAAAGAAAGAAGATGAGTTTATTAGACTCCGCCAGGGAACCCAAACCGTCACTGAATATGAGAGCCAATTCACCAGATTGTCGAAATTCACTCCTGAACTAATCATAACTGAGCAAAGGAGGATAAGACGTTTTATCCAAGGATTGAACGTGGAGATCCAGAAAGACCTGGCTGTCGCCCAACTCAATACCTTTAGTGATGCGGTAGAGAAAGTTCAACGAGTTGAAAGCACGAGATTTCAAATTAGAAACTTTCAAACTAAGAAAAGGGGATTTCCTGGAAGTACCTCAGAGCAAGGGGATAAGGGTACACCTCCTAAAATTGGAAGGGGAAACGGGGGAGTACAATTACCGAGAATGTCAAGTGGTGCCTTACAAAGAGACTCGGTCTCCGCTTCTCGTGGTCCCTGCGGGTACTGTGGGAAGCCAAATCACATGGAGGATGTCTGCTGGAAGAAAGGAAGAAAATGTCTGCGTTGTGGGAGCGCAGATCATCAAATTGCAAATTGCCCAAGCCGAGCTCGAGAAGGGAGTAGGAGGCAACAGTCAACCACGATCAACCCCGACCAGTCGAAGGAGGAAAAGAATGGAACGAAAGTGTCAGCTCGGGTGTACTCCTTAGAACAACATCAAGTCTCTGACCCATTTGAGGACGTGGAAGGTAAGATTCTGGTATTCCACCGTTTGCTCACTGTTTGCAATTTGGGAAGGATGAATTCAATGAGCTTGGCTAGTGAAGGGATACTGATTGGTTAGTTAAGTATGATACTCAATTTGACTGCGAGAAGGAAGTAGTAAAATTTTTGTATCCCGAAGAAGGCAATGATAAGGAATTTCGAGGACGAAATTCTTTTAAGGGGGAGAGAGTGTGAGAGCCCGTAAAATTTCCTATTTTCTAGGTGTTGCTTTATTTAATTGCACGCCTTTTATGTATTTTCTTTATTAGAAAAATTTTCTAGATAATTTTTATGAGTAAATAGAGTTTTCAAGTTATTTTTCTAGTATAAATGAGTTCATGAGAATTTTGGAGCGTATACCGGACATGGGACCCATTAGGGCGAAAAGTTCGGGAAAATTTGACCAACTAGGTTAAGTTTTGGATACTGAAATTAATTTACCGGGTGTTAAGAGATAAGTAGAGGATGCTAAATGGATTGGTATAAGAGAGACAAAAGTTAGGCAAGTAATTAATGAGGTGACAAGTGTCACCATAGGATTGATTCTTACATAAGACTACTATTCACCTTTTTTCTATTTGACCAAATAAATCACAAAAATCACCAAAAATTCATAATTTTTTTCTTCATCTTGGCCGGCCCTCTCTCTCAAGAAAGAAAGAAAGAAAGCTCTCCAAGTTGCTTCAATCTTTGCTCCAATCTTCTAAATCAACCATTGAATTTTGTTTTTGCTCCATAGAAACACTTAAAGGAGTGATAGTGAGGTGTTGTGTGGAGTTATTTGGAAAGCTAAGAGGACTAATTGCTCTCTCTCTCTTATTTCTAAGGTGAGTTGTGAAGAACCACTTTCTTTCCTCTAATGATGCCTAATTTATGATTAGTGGTAGTATGAGATGCAACTTTATGGATTATATTTTGAGTTTTGGTTGAATTGTTGAAGTTTTCTAATTATTGGTGGATTTTTCTGTTTTAATATGAACATGATTGTGTGGCTATATATGATGATTGGAAATGATGTTTAAGGACTCTATGAGGTGGAAAAAGTGGTTAATTGCAAACAATTTCTGTTTTGGAAGAAATTTTGGAAAGTTAGGGTTTATGATGATTACATTCTGCCTGATTTTGTAGCTCATAGTTAGAGGCCGAATTCGCCTTGTCTTAAAACATAAAAGTTGTAGGGAATGATATTTTAGAGGTGCCTACAAAATTTCAGGTCAATTGGAGTAGCGTAGCCTAAGAAAAGTCAAAATTACCCTTGCTGTCCTGGTTTTACCCGAATTTGAGAGTTGCGTCTGTAATTGGTGAATTTGGTTGGGATTGCTTCTGATTTAGTTGTTGAGGTCTTCTGATGAAATGTATCCATGTTTCTAAGCTTTCGGATGGCTTTGGAATTTCTGGATTTGGACTTAGGTAGGCTGATTTATGAGGTTTGCAATAGAATGTTGTTTGTGAAACTATTTTGACGGGTTTTGGTGTAGTATCTTGCATTTTTGACCTAGTTGCACTTTAAAATGGGTTGAGTGACCTTCTGTAATGTTTTAGCCTTGTCTTTTAGTTTCAAAATGGTGTATCATACACCTTCATCCGGTAATCGTAGTGCCTTGGGTGCCATTACCGCAAAAGGATGTCAAAAACTGTTTTTTTTTGTTTAGAGCTTAACTTTCATTTCCGGACTTTTCCCTAACTTGAATTGTACTTGTATTACTTGGAGCTTACTGAATGGCTATTTAATGAACTTATTTTGTGTGTGCCTTTGGGAGTGATTGAAGAAAACAAAAGAAACCTTGATGGCTGGAAAAGTAAAGAGAGACAAGGGGAAGTGCTGTCCAAATGTTTGTAGGAGATTCGGTGCAGTCTCGGGAGATTTGCTATATCTTGATGTAGAAATGTCAGAATTGAGTTCTCTTTGTTGTGTTTTAAACTAGATTCATAGGGCTATAAACCATGTAAATCTCAGATCTGTTTCTATTTGACCAATTTATGGTGATTTTTCAAATTTGACTGAAATCTTGTACCTGTTCTATCCTCCACTGGATAAAGCAGCAACTTGCGACTTGAATTCAACTGACTTACGTTCTGAATCTTACAATAGTGTTTTCTGGAAAGTTATATCCCTTTGAATGTATTTTCCAATGGTATAATTTTTATTAATTTTGGACCTACAAAACTTGAGATATGATTTTTCATATAAGGTCGCGCAGAACTGGAAAAATTCTATTTTCCTAATATTGATCTTGCTTTCATTATCTACTTCAAATTTGGATTTGGTTAGTCATTGTAGGAAGGGCTTTGAGGTTGTTCATGCTTTTAAGACTAATTGTTACCTTTTCACTCTGAGGTCACCTCTTTGCTTTGCATTAATGGTTCTTTTGACTAGGCATACGGCTCGTAACTGAGTCTCACTTACGAATTCCATACTCGGTCTTGGAGTCGAGTCTTAAGTGTTTGCCTTGATTGTTCTAGGAGGTAACGACGAGTAAAGCCACGCTTGGGAAGGAAACTTTTGAAATTATCCTTGTTTGATCAGGTGAGTGTACCTCTCCCCTGAGTTATTGTTAAACTGGTTTTCTGTACTTGCAACTTGCTAATTGAATATCTTTCCTGACTGTTTATCTTGTATAAGACGAGGGTGTACTTTATCACACTCGTTCTCTTGTCTGTACTGAACAAACTGGAATCTATTACTTGTATTTGTTATGTACTTGAACTTGTTACTTACACTTGTTATGAGATCGTTTGGAAGTGTGTCCAACGATCGTCCTGTTGAACTTGGTCATCCTGTTAAACCTGAGTTCAACCTCATGGGGAGTTAATTAAATCGAGCCATGCAAGGGCTTGGTCGAGGAAATTGACAATCCGTGGGTGCCTATTTTTATGGAATCTTCGAGTATTGAGACTCTTTATTTCTGTATACTCGAGTATTATCATTCTTGTTTTATTTGGCGTTCGGGCCCGGTAAGGGGGTATGAATGGTGAACGGGATTCGGCGTTAAAGCGGTGTTCTACTGGATTGGTTTTCTTTAGTTGAAAGTTGACGGAAGGTCAACGTAGTCGGATCAAGTACTGCAACGGGAAATTGGCTCCTGAGGGCCATCTGTATCCTTTCTATCTCAGTGTTTACATATCTGCTTAATTGGTACACCTATATGATTAATTGAGCATGAAGTTCCTTGGTCCTTGACTGTTATGATTTTTGGTACCTCATTGAGCTTATAGCTCACCCCGTTTTGTTATCCTTATTTTCCTTACAAGAAAATCTTTTGGGAACAATGATATTTGGAAGCATGAGTTGAGCTTGATATATATTCTTTTGTATAGCTCCTCAAGAGATATAATCCTTGAATGTATTTTGATCCAACAACTCCCTTTTAATGTGTAATTTTGCAATCATGTATTTATATAAAAGTGTTTAATCATGTACATGTGTTACCCCGCTCGAACGTGTTCATTCTTTTGGCTACATGGAGTTCAATGACATTACTGAGATTTCGGACGAGTATAGTATCCAAGTGTGAAAAAAATAATATCTGGCAGGGATTTCGACAATATTATGAGTTGGTAAGTTACATTTAACCTGGAGGTTACCCAATCGTTCGTTTTCTTTGGTTTCTATCACGCGTGCTACAGAGTTGGGAGTGATTTGACCCCGTAGTCCAGGCGAGAGTTGGGCAGGCGGTCCGCCGAATCCTTTGGTTCGCCTTAGGGGAAGGTGGGGCTGTCACAGACCCATTCGTAGGAGACGTACAGGGATCCGGGCTTCAAAACTCAGTAGATCTCGCTGTAGACTTTCTCCAGCTTGGGTGCATGGCAGGTGGCTTCGATGGAGTAAGGCCCGTCGAAGCTGTTGTCGGGGAAGGGCATTTGCAGGAAGTTGCCACGTATGACTTCGCATAGGAAATCGAGGTTGGCTTTCTCATTGTGCATCCGGGCTCGGTTTATCTGGTACTCGTTAATGGTGATACCGACAACATTGGCACTGGAATGAGCGGCGATGGTGCGCATCGGACCGCCGATGCCACAACCGGCATCGAGAATGCGGGCACTCTTCTTGATGCCCAAGAGATCGATGGCTATTTCCTCTTGGATTCTGGTGGCGTCCCGGTAGGAGTTGTGAAGCCTAGATGGCTCAAGAAAAACACAACCAAGTGCTCCAGGCATAGCCCATCTTGAATGAATAACATCTGATCCGTCAAACCTCTTCCAAAATTTGCAGAAGTGGACATGGCGACTTTCAGAGGTCTTTTCAAGATCTTGGGAATGAAATTCAAGGTCTTTTTCAAAGTAATCCCGCATACCCATTGTCACTAAGTCGCATATCTGGTTACAGGTCAATTTCTACTTTAGTTATGAAGTTTAGGGTGCTTATGTAGAGGTTTCTAAACGATAGGGGGTAATGTGTCTTTTCGCGAAACCACAAGGGGGTTTCTTGTATTTTACCCAATTTTCTTGTATACAAAATGATAAAAGTCAATGTAATGCCAAAAATAACCATCAACTTGTATTGAAGGAAAAATGATCTTAGAGAGATGACTCATAAACTCAACAATCTATGTTTGATGACCAAAATGGTTTGATTCTCGAACAACATGCCATGTTTGACCCTTTGGATATCATTCCTCCGGAGTTCAATGCTTGACAACAGATCCACAATGTAAAGAGAAATTCCAATGAACTGAGTCACCAGCCTTTCAAGTCCAAACTCACCTTTCCTCAAAATGCAAAAAATATGTGGAACACATGCACAATAGCTAGATGGAGTGCATGCAAATGAGACAAGTGTCTCTATTTTTCTTTTGACACCATAACATCTAGAGGATTGGTGGCTAGGACACTTGGAAACCCAGAAAAAATTTGAAAAAACAAAGAAAAGAAAAAGGAAAAACAAGAAAGGTTAGGAAGGCTATGAGCTTGAGAGAGGAAAAAGAGAAGAAAAAAGAGGTGGCGGCTAGGCGGAAAACTCAGAGGAAAAAAGGAAGAGAGAAAGAGGGAAGAGGGATTGGGAGAGACGGCTGAGGATCAAGAGGGGGCAAGAAGGAAGAAAAGGAACAAAAAGCAAACCAGAAAGAAAGCTTGGGGAGGTTACAGGCATAAGCAAGGAAGGTTATAGGTAGGAGAGAAAAAGAAAAGAAAAGGCTGGAGAAGAGCTTCGGGAAACAAGAGGAGCAAGAAAGAAAAAACAAAAGGTAGACGCTGGGTAAAACAAAGAAAGAAAGGGAGGAAGGAATCGAGAGAGAGTTTTAGCAGTGGGCAAAGAAAGAAAGAAAGAAAGAAAAGAGAGAAGGAGACCGAGAGAGGAGAAACCAGAGGCTTCGAGTAGATCTGGAAAAAAGGAAAGGGAGCTGCAGGCAATGGAGAAAACAGGAAGAAAGAAAGAATGAAAGAGGAAGAGAAAGGAGGGTTTCAGGCAAGAGAAAATGGAGGGAAAAAAAGAGAAAAGGGAAGAAAGAAGGAGGGAGAAACCTGAGGAAGATCAGAGAGGGATCAAAGAAAGAAAAATAGAAAAGAAAAAAAAAGGGAAAAAACAGAAAAAGGGAGAAGAAAATTAGAGAAAAAATAAAAAAAAACTGAGCCAGGGTTGATTATCTGACCTTTTTGGAGAGGAAAATCTGATTCTAAAGTTGGCATTTCAGAGGACTTTTTCATTTCTGCACCATATAGGGTGATAGACGAACAAGTTTTTTCCCAAAAATTTTGAAAAAACGTCTGTAATTGTGTCAAATTCTGGCTTGAATCCACTACTTGGTCAGTCCTTGAAACCTGTCCCAAGAAAGTTCAATTTCTGAATTCTTGCGTCTGGATCTGTTGTTTGGAGGTTCAATGGGATTTTCATCCTCTTGAAGGGTCAAAGGTGATATATCACGTCTTTTTCCATTTCATCTAAACTTAGTTTGGCATCAAACTTGTCAGAAATTCTTGCTCAACCTGTTTTCTTTGTTGCCTCTTTGTCTGAAATTTTTGCCGCTCATTTTGCAACTCATTTGGTTGGATTTTACTGATTGATGATTGTTTTAAGCGTAGTTTATGGGTTTGAGTGTATAAATGTTGTATTTTTTGAGTCCGGAGCCTTGGAAAGGGTGGGTTTCTCCCTCGCGTTTGATGAACCCAGCATATTGTAGAAGGAAACCAGTGAGGAAGATGAATTCGTTGAACCAGATGCATGAAAAATATCAGAAATTGCACTCTAACCCCTAATTTTTCAAGTAATGCTACTATGGCCCGAAATTTGAGAAAATGTGATCAATTTTGTCCCTTCAAAATTTTAATTTTCTTTAGTATACTTTAATATGATTTTTGGATAAATTATTCATGAATTTTAGGATGAAATATGAAGGTTTAACAATTTTTGATAGATTTATAGTTTTTTATTTGGATTTAAAAAAAAAAGGTTTAGATTTGGGTAGTATTTTTTTGTTTGGGGTTTGATGAGAGGGTTTTGTTTTATTTTTGTGAATTTTAGCATTTAGTTTTGATAGCCTTCATCTTAAGCCTTAATTCTATTATTTTCATTTAGACCCTTAATATTTGTAATAATAATAATTTGACCTCTCAAACTTCTGTAATTCTTTCAATTGGGTTCTTGCTTGTCTTAATTTGTTGAATATAGGTTGCTCACTTTCATTTAAATGCTTTGATTGTTCAATGTCATGTCTATTGTCATTTCTTGTGATTATTTGTTAATTAAAGTGATGACTTGACTCTTTTCTCTATTTTGGAGGGTAAATAAAAAAAATTTCATTCCATTAGGTCACCAATTCAAGAGAGGTACACTCTACTCATTTATTTTAATTTTACTTGATCCTATGTGCTCCTATGAGATTTTATGTGTGTAATTACGTGCTTTTTTTTGAATGTTTTTTATTTATTATTATTAGCCCTCTGGGGCTTGGTCTGGTGGTTAAAATTGCTGAAAATGGAGTCTTAAGTTCTTGGTTCGAACCTTGTTGCCAGGAAGTTATGGAGGGTGGGGAATAGTCTGCAGGGTCCACTCTCTGCGTGGACACCCCTAAAAAAAAGAATGGTTTTTATTATTTCATTTATTTATTTTAATTTTGTATATTTAATTTAATTTAATTTTGGTTATTTGAGAGGCATTTAAATGCCAAGTTGTAATAGTTAGGTTCTTATTTGCTTTTATTTGCTTGCGTGCTTGCATGTTTGTGTGTTTACGTGTTTACTCGCTTTCTTAGGGTCTTTGCATCTAGATATCATGCTTATGTGCTATGTGTTTTATGTAATATTATTTGTTTAATTGCTTTTACTATGTTTATTTGATTTGTTTAGTTGTAATAAATGCATGACATCACCACACTAGTCCAATGCTAGTTGTGACCCTATTTCTTCGATTTCTTGTTAGTCCAATACTAGTGAGAACTTGTAAACATGGGCTAGTATAATGGTAGACCCTTAGGGACCGTCCACGCGCTAGATCATGTTTGTGTGACAAATCACTACATTTCATGCATATTTTCTACTTTTTCGGATCCTTATCATTTTTGCATGATATTTCCCCCTATATGTATATCCTTTATCCCATATTTCCCCTATATATATATATCCTTTATCCCCATGTGCGAAACATGACATGTAGACTTACATTCCATTTAAAAAAATTAGAACTAAGTTAGATCAATTGCTTGATTAGATAAGAATAACCCCTCGAATATGGGATATGGATGAGTATGGCTTTCTAACCTTAGCATGATCGTATTCCCTCTATAAAAGAGAAAATCTAGTGATGAATGTTAGTGCCCCGCACCCATTATGATGCATTCCCTTAAGTCATGTATATTTGAATATTATTATTTTCTTTCTTTTCCTTCGATTCTCATATTTTTGCATATTCGTGACCTCTTCAAAGAGTCAATTTGGGCATCACAATTACTGTGATTTACACCAATTAAACTTTGAAGAGATATTCCGACTCCCCCGATATCCTCATAAGCTTAGGTTTTTGCATCCATATAGTGACATCCAAATGTGATAAATTCTTAAGTTAAAATAAGAAATTTTTTGACTAAATCATGCAACTAGCTCTAGGCTAGGTTGAAAGAGTGTCTTGAATTTTATCCTTGCCTTCTTTTTCTTCAAACGTGACTCCCGAACACTTTTATTTGATTTTCGAAGATTTGGAGTTGTTTTAAAAGGGTTTTTTCTACTTTTTTCTTTAAAAATTCATTTTATCTGATTTCGTACACCTTAACTCAATACCAAGTGGCGACTACTATTTTTTCTTAAAAAACCCTTTTTAAACTTTTAATTTGGGCCAAAATCGTCGCATTTTCTAGTCCCATTCTAGGCACATTTTCTTTATTTATTTTCTAAAAATCAAAAAATCATTTTCAATCAAAAATTAAATCAAAAAGCATTTTTTATGAAACCCGTATCATAATTATTTTATTTTTCATTTAAAAAATGGGGCGCAGGCGACTCCACTGGGACTTTAGAGAGTCCGAGCATTTGATTTAGTCAATCCTTTTCTTTTTCTAACCTTTTTATATATCACATTTGAAGGTTTTAGGTTGCATTTTTCTTTTTTCTTTTTCCTTTTCCTTTTTCCTTTTTGGGGTTTTCTTGCATTTAACACCCGTAATCGTCTCGATATCTGTATATGTGATAAATAAAGTGTTTTATTTCATTTACTTATGTTTATATATCGCGCTTGCATCATGGGGGGTAGTCACTCTAGAATCTTCACCTGCATACGTTTTATTTTATAACCCCTAATTTCTTTTTTACTTTTAGTGGTTGTCATGCCACTCTTCCCTATTTAGGTTTAGGATTGATCCACTTGGACTGTGAGATAACTGGCTCTACGAATGCCATAATAATCAACTGCATCGATGTATTGAACAACCCATGGATCTAAAACTATCAGAAGTTGAAACAACCTCTTATTATAGTGCTTAACATCTAGATCCACACCTATGTCTTGAAAAATGGTAACGGACCTATGTTTAGATAGTAGATATAAAACACTCCCATCCAAGAGCCCGGGATGAGAGGGTGCTGTGATTGTGTTCCATTGCTCCATTTTAAATCCTATTTTCAATAAAAGTTAAAAAAATAATTATAGACTGATTTAATTAATAATTCATTGCACCAGATAATATACAAAATTCAACATTTATTAATATAAAATAGCAGTTCATATCAAAGTAGCATGAATATGAGCCAAGTTACTATTCAAAACTCCTATCACAACTCATACAAAATGTTATTTATAAAGTAACTATCATAGAAACAATTAGGTGCAGTGTGACCCGGCTATAAACAGTTATTACACAGACGTCGTGTATCAA